GATTCCAAGGCTGGTGCCCTGTACTCTCTGCCGTGGCGGAAGGAAAATTCAACCCCTCACCGAGCAGTCACACAGGGTGAGGTGCTGGGCCACAGGAGAGCTCCTGGGGGAAACCGATCAGAATTGTTTTCAAGAGCGGTGACTTTCACTCCTGGTTGGCCAGGACAGCCAAGCCCCAGCTGTCTCTGTCCCACTTCAGGTGGCCAAGGACACCCACACGAAACCCTGGTGGTCCTCGTGGCTGGCTTTCTATGAGTGTCCCCAGTTCCAACGGGGAGATTTAATCTCACTCTCAACCCTGCAGAAACCCTTTCCAGGAGGGGATAACACGAGGCCAACCTATTGCTGAAATTGCTAAAGACAGAGATAAGCAAATGCTTGAGTTGCTTAAAAACAAGGAATGTCAAGGAGAGGACAACCCCAGCCCCCTCTTTTTAAAGATAAAAATTTAAAGAGAAAACGGACCTGAAACATAATGTGGGTCTACGTTTTAGAGACTGATACAAGGTCTTTCCACAGAGCTGTGAGGTCTACAATCTGGGACCCCACAAGCAAGCCCCGGCCGTGTGATCTCAGGCAAGTTACCGAACTTTCCTAAGCACCCGTTTCCTCATCCGTGCATGGGACTGGCAATGGCACCCGCCCCCCCTCCCCCCCGGGATCATTGGAGGACTGATTAAGACAAAGCATCCCACTTGGTTCGCACCATGCCTGGCCCCTGGGAGGGTACAGAACAGCACTGGAAACCAGTACACAGATCCACAAGGGTCTGGTGCCCTGGGCCAGGGGCCTTTGTGTGAGGAGGAGGGGCTCGAGGAGACAAGAACGCCTATGACTAAGAAAAAAGGTAGAGGCCGAAAGGGGCTCCATTAGGTCCTGTGACTTTATAACCTGGGGTTAGAAGAAGAGCTTAAGGAGGCATGGCATCTGAACTGGGCCTACAAACCTGGGTAGGCTTCGGATGGGGACAGAGAGAGTGCCCCGACTCCAAAGACATGAACTCACCAACAACTTTTAAAAAAACACAGTAACTTGGTGGCTTTAGCTGATCAGCAACACCCTCTTGCCTTAGGGACTCAGCACCTGTGCGGCTCACTGCATTCCCTCGGGCCCTGCTACCCCAAGACTGACCAGCACCCGCTCCCATCACGCTAACCCCTCACCTGGCTTTACTTTTCCGTGGAGCACTTGCCATCTCCAGACACATCCTGTGTGTACTTACCTGCTGGAAATCTCCTCCCACAGATAAGAAGCTCCATGGAAACAAGGGCTACAGCTGTCCCCTTTGCCACTATAGATCCCTGGCAGCTACCACAGTCGGTGCCTGGCAGGAGTAGTGGCTCAAGAAATGGGACCGAATGAATGGACGACCAAAGAAGGACTTGTTCACGTCTCCCCCCTAAGAAGCCTCAGGGAGCACCTGCTTCACTCTGTGGGGGGTTCTGGATGACCTCCCCTCAGACGGAGTTATTCCTGTGGCGTGCCAATAGGGAAACTGAGTTATCGAGTATCTCAAGGTCACACAGATTTGAGGCAGAACCACGGGCAGACTGAGCACATGTCAAATTTCTGCATCTCCGGCTCGGGTCCTTAGCCTCTGCACAAAGAATGGTCACCTTCCCTGGAAGGGGCCGCACCCTGGGGGCCAGAGCGGTCACCAGCAGAGCCCGTCACCCTGCTGATGTCAGGATACCCTCCATGAGCCATGTCAAAGTGTCCAGGCTTCCATCCTGCCAAGCCAGGGCCCCCCCCTTCCCTCTTCCCCACACCTCTGAAAGTGCCAATTCCCAGACTCTGTCAACCAACAGGGCACTCACTGTTCAGCTCCTTCAACCGAACATCACGTTCAGCTGGAGACCGACGTGCTGAGATCCTGGGACGGGTCATCTCACAGCCTGGCTGAAATGTTTATTTCAACAATAATTTCAGCTTGTGGTTCTAAGCCAGAAGAGCCCTCCTTTGCCGCCCAGAGGAAAACCCCTAAAAACAGCCAAAGGTTTGAGAATCCATGTCCATGACAGGCTGACACCAATGCCCAGCCACCACGAAAGTTCTCAGAAACTGCATTTGATCTTCAAGAACCAGAGAGCAGAAGGGGGTGAAGGGTGGGTGGGTAGAGGAGAGAGAACTCAAAACTTTACTGGTTTAGCCGCTGGCTTGATCTTGATTCATGCCAGGGATGCCAACTGTAAATCAGGAGATTTCCATCGCTCCCTGACCTAAAGGGACACCCCGAGGGCCATCGGAATAACAACCACCCCCAAGACCTTGGAGACAGGCGTTTCTCAGCTACACCATGTCATTAGGATATTGTTATTATGAATACACAAATGGAGTCTATGTAGACACAAAGTAAACAGCTCTCTCTCCACCCAACCATCTCCTCCATGTTTATATAATAACAACCCCCCACTAGCACGACAGTCAGCCTGGGATCACTGAAGTGCTTTATAGACAAGACAAATCTCATCTTGACACGGTTCAAGAGCGCGGAGATGGAACGGATAGCATCACATCCTAATGGGACACTGAGACAGGGGGGGGGGGGCCTGACAGGTGCCCCACCAGTGACGCTGATAACTAACTTTTATGAAACATCAACTATGAATGAGGCAAGGTGATCTGCAGATGCTAGCTTTAGAATGATCAAGATATTAGTTGACACCAGTTATTATCAGCACTTTTTTGATGGGTAAACTGAGTCTCAAAAAGATGAAGCAACTTGCCCAAGCTCTCCTATTTGCTTGTTCTTTACATCTGTGCTCTGTTTTACACCAAGCTGTCTTGGACTCTAACCGCTCTGTGCAGCTGGGGAGGAGGTGGGACTGTCTCCAGCAGGCCCAGCCCCAGGGCCAAGGGTCCAGGGACTCAGGCTCCTTCCAGGGCTCCGTGTCCCTTTTCTAGACCCTTGGAGACCCAAGACTTCAGTGGCTCCAGGACACCAGCGGCAGCTCATCACAGCCGACTGGTCTGTGGTCCCAGCTCGGGAGTGTGATCCTCAGGATTCCGTCTCCTTGGGAGACCAACACAGGCAGCCCGGAATTAGGGGACCTTGCTGCTGGCTTTTTCTCATAGGAAAGAAATAATTATTAGGTAAATAAGCCTGGTGTTTCCCAGCTGGTTAAGCTTGCTGTCTGGGAGAAGCATTCTGGTGTCAACCAACAGAAAATACTTGAAATGGTGGGACCTTGGGCAAGTTGCTGAAACTCTGGCATTTTCTGTCCTTATCTTCAGGAAGATAACACAGCTTCCCTCCCAGAGTTGTGATAAAATTTTAAGGACACATGCCATGTAAATTACGGGAACACAAGAGGTATTCAAGAAATAACGAACAACCATGTTATACTCCCCCCTCCCCCATCTTTCCTAGTATTCCAACTTCAAACTGATGATGACAGACACTTCTTGGAAGCCGTTCATCTTCCGTCTAAATTTCTTCGTACTCTAGAGTCTAGGGGATCCAGGGGGTCCTCTGGGCACCTCCCCCCCAAGACGTAACTTGCGGGGGCGGGGGCAGCTGAGACAGAGACCAACCCGAACAGAACGGAATGGGCGCACCCACTCGGAATATTTTAACGTTAAAACGCGGTCCTCAGCTTGGGGCAGATTAGCCAATGATACATAATCAGACCCTCGCATTGTGTCTCCACCGCCTCGATTTCTCTCTGCTCCTAGCAAATGCAAGCCATCATGTTCCGCTCAAAGGGGCAGCAGTAAAGCAGGGCTCTCCTGGCACTTTATAGGGGCTGCCGGGTGGGTTACAGGTGCGGCCGGAGAGGGGCCGCCCCCAACTTCGTGCCGGGCTGGCCCCCTTCCCACGCTTCCCAGGACAGTGGCGGGGTCCAGCACAGAGCGAGGTCTCCGGGAGCCCCAGGATCTCACAACTACGGCAGGCGTGGCCTTGACCTCCCCCTGCAGCTCGGTCGGGGGGGGGCGGGGCGGCTCAGCCCGAAAGCGGCGAGCGCCAAAACCCCAGTCCGCAAGCTATAGAACTAACTCCGCGTCCCGCGCGACTCCCCCCGCACCCCTCCCCGCGCCAGAGGCGCGGCGCGCGGCGAGAACTTTGCCACCAGCACTCGGCGATCCCGGCCGGGAGCGCCCCCGCGTGCCCGGCCCCGGCGACTCCCCGGGCCTGCGGCCGCGCCGCCCTCCCAGCCCAGCGCGCACCTACCCGGCTGGCTGCAGTCGCCATCCGCTCGAACCGAGGGCGCCCCGGCGCGGGGCCGATCGGCCGGCCCCCCCGCGTCCGCACCGGGCTCGCAGGCTGCGGGTCCCCGGGGGCGCGCCGGCCCGGCCCCCGCCCCGCAGGAAGGCGCCGGCTCGCCGTGCGCCGCGAGCTGGCGGACGCGCTCCCAGGTGCCCGAGTCGGCAGCCCGCATGCCGCGTGCCCGGGGGGCGATGCCGCGGCTGCGCGGGGGGCTCCGACGACGGGCGCCGGGCTCACAGCCTCCGGGGCCGCCGCCGCATCGGTACGCAGCCGAGCACCGCCCCCCCGCCCGCCGGCCGCCCGCGCGCGCCGGACCAGGGCTCTCCGTCCGGCCGACGCCGGGCCGTCCGCGGCCGCCGCACGCGAGGAATTCGGCCGCCGGCCTCTCACGTGGGAACGACTCTCACTCCCGCGGCTCCTCCTCCAGCTCCTTCCGGGCTGGCGAGGGCCGGCCGCTCGCCCCGCCCCGCCCCGGCCCCGCCCCCAGCCCCGCCCCCGGCCTCTTGGCGGCGCCCGGACTCGCCCCACGGCCTCGGGGAGCGCTTCGTGGCCCCATTCCGGGACGCTCGGCGCATCCCCAGCATGGTCTTTTCTGGAGAGACTGCGGGTCAGAAAGATGGCCAGTGGCGCAGGGATCGGAAGGGACAGGCCTGGCACCCAGGTCTTTGAAAGCCCCAAGTGAGTGCATCTGGGGGGACGGCCGCCAGGTACCCCAATTTGCATATGTCTCCACTCTTCTGACACCCTCGTGACATCAATGCTGAAGAGCTGAAGTCTCCAAAACTGGCCAGGAGAGGGCAGAAAAAATGGCCCGGGAAACGGGTAGGTAGCCCTGGGACGTTTCCTATGCTCCTCCGTACTGTGTGACCAGGCGTTCTTTAAGTGAGTATCATACTGAGCACATTCACTGTGCGGGGTGGGGGGGTGGGTGGGGGGTGGAGGGGCGGTGTTGGCGAGGGACGGGGAACCGACACGGTCCCACATCCCTAAGGAGACTGTGATCTGGTGGGGGGCCCTATGTCTGCATCTCACTTCCTTGAGCCTCAGTTTCCCCCTCTATAAAATGAGGCATCAGTAATTTCCACCCCTTCTACCATCATAGATGCTTCTGAATGCCCCTCTGCCACAGCCATGTGTCAGGTGAGGTGATTCCCAGGGAACGCCACGACCTGGATCCCGGGAGTGGGTGGGGGGCCAGTTAGTTAGCCAGCCAAGCCCCGGGTGAGGTGACACCTTGGGTCTGCAAACCCAAACCTGCCCGCTGCAGTGGGTGCTCCCGTGGCTGGCAGTGCTCACCGTAAAATGAATTTGCAGCCCCAAGCCCCCTTTGATCTGGGATTATGATGCTCTTTAGAAGGACTAATTATCTCCCCCACAGCCCCAGGAAGCTGGTCTGGTTTCCCTCCTAAGACACAGGGAGCTGAAGCTACATCACCAGGTGAGAACTCACACCGTCTCAGGGATGTCCCCAACCTCCCCTTCCAGGCAGCACGCACCCAGGCCTGGCTCTGTAACCCCTGGTTCCCACGGGGCCCAGGCCTGAGCTCTGGGAATGTCGAGGTCACTGGCATATGGCTCTCCACCAAGCTGTGGGAAACAACGAACTTCCCTCCACCCAGCCCCAAGTATCTCAAACTGTTCACAGGTGACTTTCCTATCTCTGGGCGAGGAGCCCCGCCTCTTCGAAAGCACTGGGGTCTGGCCACCCTCCATAATGGCCTTGCCAGCTTCCACCCCCCACATCTTCCTCACCCTCCCAATAATGGGGAAACTGGCCCAGTTGTAGAGGGCCGCAGGGCTGCCCCAGACCCCTTACCCCTGTCTGAAACCCCAACTGCCCAGTGGAAAGCTGACCAGTAACACCAAAGGAAAGCTGACCAGTAACACCAGCCAGGGAAGAAAACCACTCACATGGTTAAACACCCACACCATGCTAAGGGGAGGAAGCTGACCTCACACCGAGTGATAGGAGATGCTAGGAATCCCTCAATTCTTTTGCCTTTTCTGGGGTAATATGCACAACAGAACAAAAGAAAGATTGCTCTGAGCCAGCCTGGGGGGAGAAGCTGGGAATGCCCTTGCATTCTGGAGACACCCGGTACAGGAAGTGTCTGTTCCAGATGTCTTCAGGGACCCAACTGAGGACATAAATGAGTGAGGTGGGCAGTACTTGGCTCGCCGTGGGTTTGTTTCTTAAGGGCATTTAAGTTGTATTCTTTGGCTTAGACAACGCTTTGCATAATAAGCAGGTAAGAAGGTGCTTCCACAAAGAAACATGCTCTTTCCCATGTTTCTTGAGGTACATGGAGCTCTTAATCTATCTTCCCACGTTTGATAGACATGCAATTGTCTCTGAATTCCATGACAAGAAAACAGCAACACAAACATGAATATGTAGTAGCGCTTGCCACTTTTGGATTTGGTGTTAGGGAGACTTTAGGGAGTGGTGAGGACTGTGGCAAATAAGAAGCAGTAGATGGCTGTCATGCAGGAATGTGGCTCTAGTGTCACCAGAGGGTTTTTTTTATTTTTTTAGAGCTACTAGGAATATGGATTTTTAGGTGTAATCTAAGTTCAAAATGTTGACAACTCTTTAACAAGAAGAAGAAAGGGGAGAGGGAGGAGGAGAGGAAGGAGAAAGAACAATAAACAGGTCTAGAAGTTTCTCTCTAGCCCATTGGCCACCAGTGCTCACTTCACTGCTACATCTTATTGGTCCCCCTGCAACCTCTCGGAAGTCTGCGCAGGCTCTCTACTTACATTTCAATAATCCAAGCCATTTCTCAAGCCCTCAGGCCTGGGGGATTTCTGCCGCTGTCCTTACTCAGCACAGCTTTGGCCTGGTGGTGTGTGTGCATGCATGTGCATGTATGTGAGTGTGTGTGTGTGTGTGTGTGTGTGTGTGTGTGTGTGTGTGTGTGAGAGAGAGAGAGAGAGAGAGAGAGAGAGAGAGTGTTCCCCCCTTTTAGGACCAGGACTTCAGATGGCAGCTGGACCCAACTTCCAACACTTCTGGGGGTTCTCAAACTGCCCAGGCCTCCACCAGTCAGTATTGGCAGTCCCTGCTCCCAACTCTGCTAGCAGGCAAACCTCAGAGCAGCGGCAGCCTGCAGCCTTCCAGAAAAAACCATCTGCCTTGGGTGGGAGGTATTTCTTCCTTGTGGTATGTTTCTCATTACGAGGATACCCTGGACCCAGGAGATGTTTCTGCTCAGTCCGGCAACAGGAGATCCAGGAGCCAGTGACAACCCATTTTCTGCCGCGAGCATTTGGGCAGGCCCTCCAGGAATGATAACTCAGGGTGGTTTGGATTGGAGGCTCCAAGACAGGGCCAGCTTCTGAGTGTGCAACCTGGGTAGGAGGGCCCTGCTCTTGGGTTAACGCTCCGCTGTCATCGCCTTGAAATTCTTAATTATTTTTGAAGTAGGAGCTTCGCACTTTCATTTTGCATTGGGATCTGCAGATTATGTAGCTGGTTCTCCTCCCAGAAGATCTTCCCAGCCTCTCTGGGGGATGCTGGGAATTGACGCTGGAGACAGCTGGGCCTGAGATTTGGCTCATTCTGTCCTTCTCCAGGGTACGTTGTGTCCGGCCTCTGCAAGGCAGCAGGAAGGGAGGATTTGGGGGGTTGGGCAAGGCAGCAGGAAGGGAGGATTTGGGGGGTTGGGCAAGGCAGCAGGAACTGTCCCCATCCATTCCTCCAGACAACTAATTAAGGAGCAATGGCAGAGTGGGAAATTGGGTAGGGGGATGGCAGTCAGCCAGAGGGTGGGAGGATGCTCTGGTTCTGAGCTCTGAGGCCAGACGGTGTCCCCATGACCCTGAACTCAGGAGGCCAACAGGGTATCACCAAGAAAACACAAACAACGCAGGGGACAAGGATGCTAGGGATCAGTGCAGTTCCCATTCACAGTAACCCTTGGCTTCCAGGGAAGCTTCCTTTAGAATCCTGGAGAAAATGAAGATAATTTGACAAAACCCTGAAACATTGTATTAAAGGACCCCGCTATATTTGATATGTGCTCAAAGTGGAATATTTGAACCCACTGGCGTTTTTCATGTATTTTTTTCTTTTCTTGGCTATGCTTTTAGTATTTGTAGAAGAGATTTTACTAAGATCTTCCAGCCAACATTACGGTAGGCTCTCCAAACATCTGAAACTAAGTCAAAGGAGCAACCCTAGATTCCTAGGAATCTGCACAGTTTTGTCTGTAACACCTTCGGGAACTCCTGCAACACTTCCCGGGAGTCTGGAGACCCCGGTAGCAATGCCAGGTCCCCATTAGCTTGTGTGTGACTGTGGGAAAGGGATTTTCGGTCTAAGCCCCTCACTGGCAAAGGCAAAATGAAGGGCCGGGTTAGTGGAGGTGAAAGCATTTTTTCTAGTTCTGTCCACCATGGCTGAGTTGGTCTTTTCTGTCCTTCTGTGGTGGCTGTGTGCGTATGTTTTGTGTGTGTGTCACTAGCAGTGACAGCAGGTGTATTCGTTATCTATTGCTGCATAACAAATCACCCCCAAAACCTAGCAGCTTAGAACGTCCAGCATTTATTATCTCTTGGTTTCTGTGGGTCAGGAATCCAGGCATGGCCGGGCTGGGGCCCTGGGGCTCAAGGTCTCCAACAGGCTGCCATCAAGGTGTCTACTGGGGTTATAGTCAACTCAAGGCTCTTCTTTGGGAAAGATCTACTTCCGAGCTCACTCTTGTGGCTCTGGCAAGATTCAGTTCCTCCTGGGCTGTTGGACTGAAATCCTCAGCTCCCCGTTGGATGTTGGCCGGAGGCTGCTCTCAAGTCCTTGCCGTAATAGAGCTAGAAATCTACTCACAAAATGGCAGCTTGCTTCCCGGACAAGCCTCTGAGTAAGACCAGAACAGGGTATGGGCAAGATGGATGCCACACTCTCTTTGTAACCTGATCTCAGAAATGACATCCATCACCTTTTCCCTGTTCATCAGAAGTGAGTCACTAGGTCCTGCCCTCCCTCAATGGGAGGGGTTATAGGAAGGTGTGAATACCGGGAGGCAGGGATCATTGGGGGCCATGTTGGAGGCTCCCCACCGCAGGAGGCTAGGGACACAGGCCTCAAATCCTGGCTCTGGCACACACTAGTGTATATCTCGGACAAATGATTTTGCCTCTGGAAGCCTCAGGTTCTTCATCTGTAAGATGGAGAGGATAGTGGCTACTCCCTCGGAGGGCTGTGGTGGGGGGTTTCAATGACAAAACACACATGTCGAGCTCTGAATGGTGCCTGGCACAGGGTAAACCCTCGAGAAAGGGGCTTGGGGGACATTGCTGGAGGAGGCTGGAGGGATATGCCCATTGCTTCTAAGTCAGACGGGCACTCCCTGCTATCTCCATGGAGATCTGCAGATTTGTGACTTGGAAGGCCTTTGGCAGGCCCTGGGATGCCTTTGTGACCAAGGCCACCAGCAAGGATGGTGCTGGTCTTCCCTTGGCCATCCCAGTAGGACTCAGGGGCACAGGTGCAGCAGGCGGATTAGACAGGATTTTCCTCCAAACCTATTTAGACCTTTGCCCTATGGGGACAGAGGATTTTACCCCAGATCCATCCTGCCATCTGGCCTGGTGAGGCCTTCCTGGCTGGACACTTTTGTGCGCCTGTCATGGGCTCACTGGTACCCTTTGACGATCTTCTCGGGGCCCCAAATGACCTGGCAAAGATCCTGATCCCCTCTGGGGGCTTCCAAAGGGCCTGCCCTGGAGGCCAAGGCTTAGCTTAGTCCTCGGGCAAAGCCGGGCATTGAAGCATTTTTACAGAGTGCAGCTGGCCTCCACGTCCTGCCTGTCGGACTGACTCGGGTCCCAAGCTAGATTCTCAACTGCAACCAGAGGAAAAAGCCCTCATCCAGGGACCACAG